CTGCGCCACTTGCTCCGAGGCCGGCGCCTGCACCGCCTGCCGGGAGGACCACTACTTCACCAGCACCGACCCGCTGGTGGAGTCGCTGTGCACCGCCGCCTGCCCGGCCGGGCAGTTTGCCGACACGGCCGCCGGCCGGTGCGCCACCTGCCACGAGTCCTGCGCCACGTGCGACAATGCGGACGCCTGTACGGCGTGCGCGCCGGCGTACGGCTGGCTGGCCGGCCGGTGTGTCGACTGCCCGGCCGGGTGCGCCGACTGCACGCAGGCGGCCACATGCGACACCTGCGCCGGGGGGCTGCTGGTCATGCCGGATGGCACCTGCGCGGGCGCCTGCCCGGAGGGCACCTTCGCCGATGCCACCGCCGGCCGGTGTCGGCCATGCGACGCCTCCTGCGCCGCGTGCGCCGGCGATGCCGCATGCACGGTCTGCCGGCCGCACATGGTCTTCTCCGACCCCGACCCCGCCCCCGGGGTGGAGTCCCTCTGTGTGAGCACCTGCCCGCCGGGGGAGTTCGCCGGGCCCGGGCGCTGCACCATCTGCCACGAGTCCTGCGCCCTGTGCGCCGGGGCGGCGGCGCAGTGCCAGCTGTGTGCCCCGGGGTTCCATTGGGTCGCCGGGGCCCCGGGCGCCGGGGCCACCGGCACCTGTGTGCCCTGCCCGGCCGGCTGCACGGCCTGCGTGGGGGACTTCTGCCTCGAGTGCCAGGCCGGCCTCTTCCTGGGCCGGGAGGGCGCCTGCATGGCCGACTGCCCGGGGGACCACTTCGCCGACGTCGAGTCGGCCACCTGCCAGCCGTGCGCCCTCGAGTGCGCCGCCTGCCTCGGCCCCACGGCGGCCCACTGCACGGCCTGCTCCCCGGGGCTGGACTCCTTCCCGGGGCAGGGGGAGCTGGTTTCCTGCGCATCCCCCTGCGAGCCGGGCGAGTACCGGCACCCGGTCAGCCAAGCCTGCGCCCCCTGCCACGAATCCTGTGCCACTTGCAATGGGCCCACCGACCACCACTGCTGGCGGTGCTCCGCCACCGGGGCCGTCCTCCAGGACGGCGAGTGTCTGCTGGCCTGTGCCGCCGGCTTCGCCCCGGTGGCCGGCCGGTGCCTGCCCTGTCACCCGTCCTGCGGCCAGTGCCTCGGCACCCGGGCCACCGAGTGTGTGGACACCTGCCGGGAGGACCTGCTGCCGATGCCGGCCGGCCAGTGGCCCACGCGCTGCGTCGCCAGCTGCCCGGTCGGCCATGCGGCCGGGCCGGCCGGCTGCTCCGCCTGCGGGGCCCACTGCGCCAGCTGCCCCGGCTCGGCCGCGGTGTGCTCCCAGTGCGAGCGCGGCTGGCTGCTGGCCAGCCCGGACTGCGTGCAGGACTGCCCCGGCGCCTCGATCCCCCAGGGGGGCCTGTGCGCCACGTGCGACCCGTCCTGCGCCTCGTGCTACGGGCCCGGCCCGGCCCGGTGCCTGAGCTGCCCGCCCGATACCCCGCTCCTGGTCAATGGGTCCTGCCATGGGGCCTGCCCGCCGGGGACCGTGTTCGACGCCCCCTCCGGCCGGTGCGCCCCCTGCCATGGCGCCTGCGCCGAGTGCCACGGCCCGGCCGCCAACCAATGCACCGTCTGCCCGGGCCCGGGGGAGGTCCTCCTCGACGGGGCCTGCCTGGCTGCCTGCCCGGCAGGGCACTATGTCCTGCGCCCGGGCCCGGGGGCCTCGCCCGGCCCGCAAGCCTCCTGCCACCGGTGCGATCCGTCCTGCGCCGAGTGCACCGGGCCGCTGGGCAGCCAGTGCACCCGGTGCCCGGCCGGGCCGAGCCTGCTCCATGGCGGGGCCTGCGTGGACGCCTGCCCGGCCGGCACCCTGGCCTGTGTGCCGGATGGCCGGTGTGACGCCTGCCCGGCCGGGTGCACCGCCTGCGAGGCGGCCCCCGGCATGGGCGGCATGTGCGCCGCCCTCTGCACCGACTGCCAGGCCGACCTGCGCCTGTCCTCCGCCGGCCAATGCCTGGACACCTGCCCGGCGGGGGAGTTCGAGCAGCCGGACCGCCGGTGCCGGCCCTGCGTGGCGCCCTGCCAGCAGTGCTTCGGCGCCGAGGCCTTCTGCACCACGTGCCGCGACCCGGCGGCCTGGCTGCGCCCCGACACCGGGACATGCTCCAGTGCCTGCCCGCAAACGGGCTTCGCCCCGGCCGAGCTGCTCGATGCGCCGGCCTCGCTGCCGGGCCGGGTGTGCGTGCCCTGCCTGCCCGGCTGCGAGCTGTGCCCGACGCCGGCGACCTCCCTGCCGGCCGATGTCTGCACCCGTAGCCCGGCGCAGGAGCTCACCTGTGCCCCGGTCGCCGGGTGCGCCCGGTGCGCCGGGCAGCTGCTCCTCCTCCATGGGGCCTCCTGTGTGGCCGAATGCCCGGGCGGCTTCTACGCCGACTGGGACAACCCGGCGGCGGCGGCGGCCTGTCTGCCATGCGACGCGGCGTGCGCCCTGTGCACCGGCCCCGGCCCGGACAACTGCTCTGACTCCAAGCGCGCCAGGTCCACCGGTCTGGGTGCGTTGCCGCCTCTTCGGCGGGTCTGCCGCCGGCCATGCCTCCTGCTGCCCTGACTGACCGTCGCCTTCTGTCCTCCCGCCCCCCCCCCCTCCCCGCGCGCCAGCCCTCGGCCTGGGCATCGGCCTGGGCCTGCTGTTCCTGCTGGTCCTGCTGCTGGCTCTGGTGCTGATCCTGCGCCGGCGCAAGGCCGTCCAGGGCCCGGCCAAGGTACGCGCCCCTCCCCGGCTCCTGGCCACACGGCGGAGGCCCACACATCTCCCGCCACCGCCCGGCGTCACACATCTCCCGCCACCGCCCGGCGTCACACATCTCCCGCCACCGCCCGGCGTCACACATCTCCCGCCACCGCCCGGCGTCACATATGTCCCGCCACCGCCCGGCGTCACATATGTCCCGCCACCGCTCGACGTCACACATGTCCCGCCGCCGCCCGACGCCACACTGACAAACCGCCACCGCCCGACGCCCAGGACGAGGACATTGGTATGGCCACATCCGCGCACTGCGTCCTTCCGCCACATGCCCCTCCCCTTTGTTGACGCGCGACACACTCACCTCCCCCGCCCCCCGCCCAGATGCCACCATCCTCAACACCATTGTCGGTACGTGTCCCCCCCAGGCCTTTTCATTGGCGACCATCCTCCACACCGAACTCACCTCCCTGCCGCCTGCACAGAACTCGCCCTGCCCGGTGCCATTGTCGTGGCCGTGGAGACGGACTTCCGGCCCTTGGAAAACGGCAACCTCGGGTCCGGCACCCAGGCCCAGGTGTATGCCGCCGAGGCCGTGGGCGCCGACATCACCACGCGCCTCCGCTGCCCGGACGTGGTGGCCATCAAGAAGCTGACCGGTACGCGCCGCCGCGCACCCACGCACGAGCACTGCCTGCCCGGCCCGCAGACTGCCCTCCTGCTCGGCCTTCCGCCGATGCTCTCCCAGTTGCCCTGACCCCTTCCCCCGCACTCTGCGGCCGACCGGCGGGCCAGACGCGCGCCCGGTGTACATGGCCCTGTTCCAGAACGAGGTGGCTCTCATGTGGTGCGTGCCGCTGCTCTTTCGCATGGCCCGCCGCCCCCCCCAGGAGAAGAAAGGACCCCCCCGGTAAGATGCGCTAACCCAGCCCCCCTACCGCCCCGGCCAACACACCGTCAGGCTCCTTCGCGACTCGCCGAACGTCGTCCGGCTCTTCGGCTACTGCGAGAGCCCGCCGGCCCTGGTCATGGCACGGCACGACAGCTGCCTCAACACGCTCCTCAGCTCGGACATCCCCCTCGACACGGCGGTCCTCCTGGACGTGGTCCTGCAGTGGGGTGCGCATGCGCCATGCCTTCGGCCCCCCGGCCTTCCGTCGCCCTCGCCCTCGCCCTTACCTGCCTCGCGCCATTCTGACACACTCGGGCCGGCCTAGCCTCCGGCCTGGAGACCATGCACGCAATGGAGATCGCCCACCGGGACCTGAAGCCGCACAATGTCTTTGTCAGCCAGCGCCCGGATGGCGGGTGGCATGCGGCCCTCGGCGATCTGGGCGCCTCGCAGAATGTCAGCACCACCCGGTCCTCGGCCCTGGTCCTCAGCCCGGTGGAGCTGAATGCCATGTCGGCCCGGTACGCGGCCCCGGAGGTGATCACGGCCTTCCGCGAGGAGCACCCGGTGTCTCGGGACCAGCTTCTGGCGGCGGACATCTTCTCGGCGACCATTCTCCTGTGGCAGTGCCTGGCCCGGCGGGTTCCCTTCGCCGGGCTCGGCGGCCTGGGCCAGATCCTGGAGTGCATCCAGCGCGGCGGGCGCCCGGCCGTCGACGAGGCCCTCGGCCCGCGCCAGCTGCAGGAGACCGTCCTCAACGAGCTGCTGGTCTCCGGCTGGGAGGCCAACCCGGTGCATCGCCCGACTGCGGCCGCCTTCCGGCAAAAGTGTGCCCATGCCCAGGCGGGCAGTTCCGCCCCAGCGCAATAGAGCCCCCCTTGGCAGGATCCCCCCCCGGCCCGGGGGTAAATACACCCCATCTGCATGTGTGTCTGTTTTTCCTGCTGCTGCTGCTGCTGCTGCTGCTGCTGCTTGCCCCCTTCGCCGGGGCGGGCCATCAGCCGGAGCCTCGCCCCCTCCAGGGCGTTTGTCAGCGGGTGCCCGGCCAAAGGGAACTGGCCCCAAGCACCAAGCGACGCGCGCCGGCCGAAGGCGGCCCTTTCACCCGGGCGCGAGAGGGGGCGACGACCCGACAGACGCCCGGCCAGGGGGCCAGCGCCCCAGTGAGGCACAGGCAAAGACACCCCGGCGCCACCCGAGAGCGCGGTTCCGACACCCACGCTCAGCGGGCCGCCCGGCGGGTCCCTCGGCCGGGATGGCCCGCCGCCCGCCGCCCGCCGCCCGCCGCCCGCATGCGGGCCTGCCCATGGGGCCGATGCCGTGCCAAGCCCCTGGCAGCCAAGCGGGAAATGGCCCGCCCCCCAGTCGGGGGCTCATCCGAGCACGCCCGCTTGACCGGGATTTTACCCAGTCCGTTCTGGAGGAGCGCTCGCGGCGGCGGCGTAAATGTCCGAGCGCGCTTATTTCAAAATAAAAACTCCGCACTTTCACTCCCCCGTGCGGTCCCGAGTTTCACATCGGGCCTGCCAACGGGCGGCGCGGCGCCGCCACAGCCCCGGGCGTTCGCGGCCCCCGGCTTGCCTGGGGTCTGTCGGCCGCACGCCCTTCCTCGCACCCGCAGCCCCCGCGCACGGCGCTAGTCCACAATCGGATGCCGAGATCTCGACCGCTCAGGGGGGAGCGCGCGCGCGCGCGCGATCGGCCCGCGGAGCGCGCGTGGAGCCCCGCACCGGGGTCGCGGCTTCGGCCGGCCGCCGCACGGCGTCCAGGCCCTCGTAGGGCCGGGGCAGCAGGAGAATCTAGGCCCGGGCTGGGCCGGCGTGGTGCGCGCCCCCCCCCCCC